TGGATTCTGCGTCTTTTTTCTCCCAATCTCTCAGGTTTTGTAAGGTTTCCAATGGCTTCAGATCTTTTCTGTGTGATGTATGGGCGCGAGTGCAAGTACGGAGCTCCTTACTTCTCCGCCATCTTGCCCTCTCTCCTCTGGTGTTATCTTTCTAAAGAAACCATGGATAAATAACTTCATCCACCAGAAGGCTGTTACCAGGACTTTCTGAAGCTTGCTCCTTCTGCAGGTTGTCTTCTTATTCCTGACTGTAAAGAGTTATACTTTCACCAATTTATATTCCGTGAACATCGGATTGGGGAGAATTTGAATCTCCACTTGCTCTAGGATTCATATGACAGACACCACTTTTGTAATCATTGGAAAACCATATTTTAATCTTTAAACATGATTAATCAGACAGTTCTGGAGGCAGGGAAGTAATTCAGGAGGCTGAAAACTATTCAGACTCAATCGTAAACATCTAAAAGTCATGACAGAAGTGTTGACAATGAACACTTTGTGAGATTTTTGGGAAAGGATGGCAGGTATTTCCTTGCCTGCATCAACCTGGGTGTCTTAATCATAATTTCATACCAACTGGCTTTCTGAAAGAAAGCTCTGCTATGCCCCAACCTCCCCCCAGCAATGCTCCCCAGTAGTTTTTCCTACTATTCAAAGGCTTCAAAGACAAGTCTTTGCAGACAAACCTTTGAGGAATATGAAAAGCTACTGGGAATTTTCAAAGGAACTCTCAAAGCCTCAGCCTTCAGAATTCCTTCTGTGTTATCTGGATTGAGTTGCCTTTGTGGAAAAACTGTGGAATAAATTATTTTGGTCTGTTTTATTCTAGGTGGGAATAAATGTTTTTCATGACTCCAGTATAACTATTTCAAAATATTACAATAACCCTGTATAAGACAGGCCAAGTCTTCCAGAGAAAGTGACCTGGAATGGCAACACTACCATCAATTGCATTTCCATTGAGTACACAATGCTTTCTAAGATACTAATTTACAAGATGATATTTTAAAAATAATAACCTAACAGAAGAAAAAGAAAAACTCTGTAATCATGGACTCTTAACAGTGAGCAAAGGAGAAAAAAGTAAAACTACATTCTCCAGGTCTCCTAATGCTGAAATGTATACATTAAATTTAACCCAGCAGAATTTCATGAAATGATATATTTTGTGACCCAGAAAATTAAAAATTAAAATTAGCACCAAGTAACATACTGGCATTGTATATTTAAGATAGTTCTTCACATAAAGTGACAGGGCTAATGTACAACATAAACATCTATCACATATGTTCCTGAAACTGTAGTTTTTCAGTTTATGGAATCACACTGAATTTCTTTCAAAATGACCTATGTTTTTTAGTCATCAGTTTTCTCATTGCCTCTTTCACCTCTTTGTTTCTCAGATTGTAGAGCAAGGGGACCACCACTGTATAGAACACAGACACCACTTTAATATGGTCAGATGAGTGGCTTGACTTTGGTATGACATAAACAAATGTGACTGTCCCAAAAAACAAAGTGAGGTGAGAAGTACAAGTAGAGAAGGCCTTGTGTCTCCCCTCAAAGGAATGAATATTAAAGACTGAGTGCAGGATATGTAGATATGAAACAGCTATGATAAACAGTGTGATTACAATGATTGACCCAGTGAAGATGGCAGGAGCTATTACAGCAACATAAAAATGGGTACAGGAAAGCTTCACTAGTGGTGGGAGGCCACAGAAGAAATGGTTGATTTTATTTGGACCACAGAAAGCCAAGCTCAGCAAACAGCCAGTAAATGATGAAGCATTCACACATCCCCCCAGATAGGAAGCAACCAATAAGATGATACAGACTCTGGAAGACATGTGTGTAGAGAAGTGGAGCACAGATGGCCACATAGCGGTCATAGGCCATGACCGCCAGCAGGAATCACTCAGCCGTTCCAAAGACAACATCAGAGCTAAGCTGAGCCATACAGCCAGCGACAGGAATAGTAGTTCTCTCTCTGAGGAAACTCACAATCATAATGGGTGTGACTGATGTGGAATACCCTATATCCACAAAGGCTAAATGGCTGAGGAAAAGGTACATTGGGGTGTGAAAATGTGGGCTTCTGTGGATTAACACGATTATGCTGATATTGCCCAATATGGTAGCAGCATAGATTCCTAGAAAAATCACAAAGAAGATAGAACAAAGTATAGGATCCTCTGTTAAACCCAAAATAATGAATTCTGTCACCATTGTGTGGTTTCTGGCCTCCATCTTATCTGTAATGATGCCTATTGAAATAAAAACCAATGGATATTAAGAATAAATTCAATATATTCAATAAATTCAATGATTTCATAGTTAACATATTTACCATTCACCCATTTTTTTAAAGTTTACTTTTTGTTTTGAGAGACAGAGCGAGCATGGGGGAGGGATAGAGAAAGAGGGAGAGAGAGAATCCCAAGCAGGCTCTGTGTGACAGCAAGGAGCCCAAGGCAGGGCTGAAACCCACAAACTGTGAGATCATGACCTGAGCCAAAATTAAGAGTCAGACATTTAACCAATTGAGACACCCAGGTCCTCCCACCATTCACCCTATTAAAAAGTCAAAACAGAGGTGCCTGGCTGGCTCAGAAGATCATGAGGCTCTGGATCTTGGGGTCATGAGTTTGAGCCCCATGTTGTGGATAGAGGTTACTTAAATAAACTTTAAAAAATCAAAATATAGATCCCTTTTGCCTAATGCTTATACTCTACAGAATGTTTTCAAATATATTTACTTTATGTGTGATTTGAGAATATTAATGTCCATTACTTTAAGGCCAAAGATACCCACAAAGAGACCAGTAACTCAGATAAGAGCACAGTTAGTGCTCACATTTGCATCATTTGATCAATTCAGGTTGTTGAATGAATACTTAAACCTGATGAGAAGCAGAATGGTCAAAGTGATTGACCTTATGCTAGTGTTCAGCAATATCCAATTTGCTTCTTTCTTGGTTACCTTGGAGACCACACCTCCCAGCCTCTTTGTGGTTAGGTAAGACCATAAACAGTACATGCCAATGGGCTAGTTGGGGAAATGCCATATGTCTTACCTGGATCAAATTAAATTACCAGGGGACAACTTTCTCTTCTTCTTCCACAGTGACATATTCTACATGATACAACTATAAGATAATGGTACCTCCTACCAGAGAGAGAAGAAATGTAATTGTTTTTGAAAGGAACACAGTTAACCATGTGTAGACCCCTGAATTTCCAAATGGAGTATTTGCTATTTAAAAAAACCCCTCAGCATTAATTTTTTTGTACAAAATATACAGATAAATAACTATCAGTATGCTACTCTCAGTCGATTTTATTATGAAGAATGTGTACCCTTTGTAGTGATGATTAAACCCATGTGATTTGATCAAGTTTTCATATGAATTAACTTGATACAGTAATGTAAGAATACTAAATCTCTAGCTCATGAACTAGCCCCAGGATTGTCAGAGACTTAAAAGACACAAATCTAAAATACGTCTTAAGTGTTTATAAGAAAATATATACATGAAAGACTCAAATGAGTTCAAAATATGATGTGGGTGCCAGTATGATATGGAGAATGTGATGTACAGTTGCTGCAATGAAAATAAAAGAAGGTTTCAAAGGCAAAATCTCTGGGGATAAATTTCAAGTCTGTCACTTACTAGCCAGGTGATCTTGAAAAGTTATATAATCCTTCTGAGAATCTGTATCCTTATTTTAAAAATTAAGATAATAATAATACTTGCCTCACATGGTTGCTGTGTTAAGTGAGATGGTGTATGTTAATACACCTAGCAATAGATAGCAGTAAACAAATAATTCATAACGGAGAGTTTACTTCAAACAAGCAACTAGTACTCCTACTACAAATGCATGGACGTTAATAAATCAATAACAAAGAATGAATGTCACCTGCTGGTCAAATATTATGATAGAGACAAACTCTAGGAATCATCTCTGTATGACAGGGTTTATTTCTGCAGGATTTAGGGCTATTTAGAATGTACAACCTTTACCTCAGCATCAGATAGGCACAGATTTGTCAACATCCCGCTGAGAATCCAATGGGAGAAAATCCAACGAGACTGAGAAAATTAGGTGTGTTTATGTATGATTACACCATTATGCCAGCTGAGGTACTCATTAAGGTTTCAGGGGCTTCATTTAGTCTTCTCATTATTTGTATTTAGATATTACAATGGCAAACATCGAATTCATTTTGAAATTTGATTTGGACCAACACAATTAATGTGGGCTATCCTTTGGTTATCTGTGATAGTTCTAAGAAGCAGCCATGATGAGGTGCGTAGAACTATTTTCTTTCCTTTTTCAAAAATTTTTAAAAATTTACATTTATTTGAGAGACAGAGACAGAGCATGAGCTGGGGAGGGGCAGAGACAGAGGGAGACACAGAATCTGAAGTAGGCTCTAGGCTCCTAAATGTCAGCACAGAGCCCGACACAGGGTTTGAACTCATGAACCGTGAGATCATGATCTGAGCTGAAGTTGGACACTTAACCAACTGAGCCACCCAGGTGTCCCTCCTAGACTATTTTCTTAAACACTGTCCTGTGGCTCACAGTTAGTCACACCTCAGGGAGTTGTGGAAGAGCCACAATGCTTTACTCCATGTGAAACTGACCCACAATTTAATTCAGCATTGGCATTTCCTGCTTATTATATAGATGCCCCCACTAAATCTCAGACTTCTTAAATTGATAGAGATGTGGTTATTGAAGATGCTTCTTCCTTCCTGCTCCATATTTTTCTCTATCCCAATCTTCCCTTTGAATAACCAAGAATCTCTTTCTTGTTCCTGATTTCCATACTGTTTTTCATGAGTGATGTTACTGTTTGTATTGCTCTGAAATTGCTTTCTTTTACTCGAAAATATTTTTTAAGATAATTCCTTGTAAGCATGTATTAATCTCCTTCAATCTTTTTAATGATTCATAGTATTCTAAGTATTTAATCAGTATTTATTTAGCTATACCCTGCCAATGTTGCATTGTGCTTATATACCAGTAGTTCTCTTGGATACAATCTAAGAAGTGAAATTACTGGATCAAAAGCTTTGCCCAATTTAAATTCTGATAGATAATGCTAAATTGCATTTTTCATTTTGTTGCATTTTTTGCATATATATTTATATGATATCCTGGGTAATTCCTAAAATCCATCTTCCAGTTCATTAATTCTCTCTTTAGTTATGTCTAATCTATTGTCTAACCTGTTTATTCTGAGTACATTTTTTATTTCTAGACTATCTCTTTGTTTTTTGTTTATTTTTCTAAATTATTGTGGTCTTTTCTAAAACAAAAGCCCATCTGAGGTTTTTTATTCTTTTGCTTCTTCAAAAATATTAACCAATATGTTACAATGTCTACATATGTTGAATGACACATCTGTTACCTGACGGTCTAAATCTGTTCTTTGATGTGACTTCAGACATACTCTTGTTTTTTACAGTTTGCATTTGGGTTTGTTCTTTTATAATATCAAATTTGAACACATCTTTTCTTAATGGGGCTCTGTGTTACTCTTGTCTAGCCTATGTTGAAAGTATATCCTCCCAAATAAGTTTTGTTCTTTATTTCTGCCACTTGCCTCTGTATCACTGGCTCAGGATAAATTGTGATGCTATTTTCTCAATTTGAAGGTTTACAGATGAGAAAGATAGTATAAGACAGTATACTGACAGTGTAACGATAGTATTTTGAAATTCAAACCCATATTTGGTATAGATGTTGCGCCAAAATTCCCAAGAGAGACCATTTTTTACCTCCAAAAGATTTAACAGTTTCATGGATGAAAAATTGACTTTGTCTACCGTGCCAAGCAACACCACTTCAATATATCCCTTTCTGCAAGCAGCTACAATGTACAGTTATTCTAATCCCTGGAACTCTGGGAGGCTTGGGGACCTGGTCTTATTGAAAACTTAGAGTTCCAGAACCTGATACAATCTCCCTAAAGAATATATAGTTTCTTAACGTTTAAAAAATTTTTTTTAAATGTTTTATTTATTTCTAGGAGAGAGAGAGAGACAGTGTGAGCAGGGGAGGGTCAGAGAGAGAGAGAGGGAGTCACAGACCGAAACAGGCTCCAGGCTCTGAGCTGGCAGTCAGCACAGAGCCCGATGCGGGGCTTGAACCCACGAACCGCGAGATCATGACCCAAGAGAAAGTCAGACGCTAAACAAACTAAGCCACCCAGGCGCCCCTAAAAAATTTTATGAGAGAGAGAGGCAGCATGAGCAGAGGAGGGTCAGAGAGAGAGGGACACAGAATCCGAAGCAGGCTCCAGGCTCTGAGCTAGGTGTCAGCACAGAGCCCAACACGGGGCTCGAACCAACAAACCGTGAGGTCATGCCCTGAGCTGAAGTCAGCTGCCCAACGGACTGAGCCACCCAGGTGCCCCTCTCCCTAAAGATTTTAACAGCAAGGGTTACAGTTTACACTTTCAAGAGATTAGATTACCAAACTTTTAATGACCAGCTTCATGTTGGGAAAGACTGTGTTGATAATACTGATAATTATGATATATGTTGCTACAAGAGCTTAAAGGAAATGTCTTCTGAACCGAAGGAATATGAAGATCCCATCACATGTCTGTGTGGAGGTCAACAAAAATGCCCCACTCTCACATGGCAAGGGAAATCTCATCATTTTTCATTTTAGAGTCAATTTGTTTATTCTGTGATACTAGAAGCTGGTAGTAGGTTGAAAGTTCAAAGGCTCTGTGGTTTAAAGGAGACTCCATGCCTACTTGAGGCCAGTCAGCCCTGGCACACCCCAGGCATATGCTAAGTCTTCCTGTAATTTTTTTACATTAGTAGCACACAATAAATAGACAAAATACAGTGATTTAAAGTCAGGAGGGCCATATTGCTAGTCAAACTGGTATGGAAAGTGATTGACAAAATATAACAGGATCTGCAAGATCACTTCTTGTCAAAAAAAAAAAGATTGAGATTTTTGATTATAGTTTATTTATTTTAATGTTTTATTTATTTCTGAGAGAGAGAGAGAGAGAGAGAGAGAGAGAGAGAGAGAGAGGCAGCATGAGTAGGGGAGGGTCAGAGAGAGAGGGAGACACAGAATCTGAAACAGGCTCCAGGCTCCAAGCCAGCTGTCAGCACAGAGCCCAACACAGTGCTCAAACCCATGAACTGTGAGATCATGACCTGAGCCAAAGTCAGACACTTAACCAACTGAGCCACCCAGGCACCCCAAGA